GAGAGAGAGAGAGAGAGAGAGAGAGAGAGAGAGAGAGAGAGAGAGAGGAGGAAGGAGGATGAGAAAGTGGAAAGAAAGATTAAAAATGAAGAAAAGTGAGAAAGGGAGGAAAGGTAAATTTGTAATTATTAGGGAAGAAATGGAGGAAGTTTTACAAGAATTCATCTTTTCAACGATCGTTGTCCAGGGATTAAGAAGAGATTAAAAAAGACGCGAGGATAAAAATTTTTAACCGAGTGGACAAGGGTAGAGAGGAGCGACATCTGTCGAGGAGAGATAGAGAAATTAAATTTATTGAAAAAAAGAAGAAGAAGAAGAAAAAAATCGAAATTCAATGAAACGATCTCGTCGAGTTTAATGAAACTGAAATTTGAATCAATTCTGGAAATTTTATATCGTAATTATTTAAAAAAGAAAAAAGTTACCTTTGTGGAAAATTTGTATATTCGTGAAACTGAATCAGTCGAATATTTTCATTGTATTCGGATAACACTAATTAAATTGGAATTGTACGAAATGATTTTGATGCGAATTTAATGAATCCGAAATTTGAGTCAACATTTTTCGAAATTTTATATCATAATTATCAAAGCGTTTTATTTTTATTTTATTTTATTTTTTTTTTGAAAATTTTTATATTCATAATAATATATGCTAAATTAATCTAACGTTTTAAAAATTTCGATAATTTGTTTATATTTGAAAAGATTAATGGTCGAAACGAAGATTAATTATCAATTTAAATGGTTTGTTTGACGTGTAAATATGTGGTAACATTGCGCAATTACGATTGCCTACATTACCATGCAATGTTACAACATTGTGCAACAATATTTTTCTTGGTCGAAATATCTTATCTTTGAAATTATTCTATCTGAATCGATACGCGTCTAGATATCAACAATATATTTCAATCAACTTTTATCTCCAAATTGTACGAAAAAAAATATTTGCAAGTTTTTATCAAAATTATCTTCGCGCTATCAAAATACGTAACAACAGAATTATATTCAGACCAAGAATTACTCAGATTTTTTTTATTAAAATTTATTAAAATCGTCCAAAGATTCTCGTACATTTCGTATCTCTTTCGAGTAATTAAACTTATAAAAATAAAATAACAAGAATCAAGATCAACTTTCTTTTTCTCCTCCCTTCCTCGAATATACAATTTCTCATTATCAAACTAAAATACTAAAATAATAAAATGTTCGATATCTTATTATTTCTATTATCGCACACAATTGCAATTACGATTCTAAAAAAAAGAGAAACATTATCGCAATTCTCGTTTCTCGAGAATTTACTCGCAATATAATACGCAATATACTACAGATGATGATTTATCTCTTATATAAGCACTCGCCGAGCAACGATTATATTCAGTATACGTTGAAAGAATCGCATTCACGGTCAGTTGACAAGCTGAGAACCCGATCGAACGATGGATTATCTCCAACTCGGCCTCATCATTTTGGCAATACTCGTGGCCGTCTACTACCTGTCCACGAGGAATCAGAAGCTTTTAAAGAAGCACGGGATCGTGCACATCCCCCCAACACCGTTCCTGGGCAATCTGGGCCCGTTGGTGCGTCGCCAGTGTCACATGGAGGACGTGATCCAGAGGGTGTACGACCTCGAGCCGGAGGCAAAGTACGTGGGGATGTACGAGTTCACCACCCCGTTGATAATAATCCGCGACCCGGAGCTGATAAAAACGATCGGGGTGAAGGAGATCACGAATTTCACGAATCACCGGCCGTTCGTGGACGTGAGGGTGGATCCTATGCTGGGCGAGGTGTTGTTCGCGATGCAGGGCGACCGGTGGAGGGAGCACAGGACAATGCTGACCTCTCTGTTCACCTCGAGCAAGATCAAGTCCATGTTCGTGCTCATGTCCGATTGCGCGAAAAGATTCGCCGATTATCTGTCGAAGGTGGATCGTGAGATAGAGCTGAAGAGCGTGTTGACCAGGTACACGAACGACGTGATCGCGAGATGCGTGTACGGGATCCCGGTCGACTCCGTGAACGAGCCCGATAATATATTCTACGAGTACGGTCAAGTGGCGTCCCAATTGGCGACGTTCAAGCAGAACTTGATGATATTCGTGCACAGGAACTCGCCCCGGTTGGCCAGATTGCTCAACTTGAAGATCCTGCCCGACCACATAGAGAAGTTTTTCCACCGGTTGGTCGTGGACACGATCGAGACGAGGAGGAGGGAGGGGGTGCACGGGTTGGACATGTTGCAACAATTGGTGGACATGCAGTCGAGGAAGAAGGATGTGGATGGGAGGGAAGGTATGAGCGTGTCCGACATAGCCAATCACGCGTTCAGCTTCTTCTTCGGAAGCGTGGACACCATGGCCACGCAGATAAGCCTGATAGCGCACATGCTTGCCGTGAATCCTGACGTGCA